CTGAATGCACAAGAAGATCAACTGCTTTATGGCAAGATTGGTTAAAACATCTTTATAAATTCACAAATCCTTACTGTTACATTAATTTGTGTCAGTCAAGTGCTATCAAACACAAATCCAGACACAGAGCTAAATAAGTTATTCTTGCTGACATCCAACCAAAGAATGTTAAACAAAGCAGTACCTGAACACAATCCTATTTGCCAAAGACACCTGTTGGGGTTTAAACATTTGTTCAGTGTCAATTCACCTATCATCTAAGCTGACTCTGACTCATCTTTTCAACTTGGTGTTTTCACAGACCAAAGGAAGGTTAAGAAAGCAGAAATCAGAACTAATGGAAGTAGGACACTAAAATGGATTTGGTTTTCTTGTTTTAAATACTTTTTAGGTACTTTCTATAGAAAAGCCAGCATTCATTGCAAACACATGCAAAAAAGCAACATATGTTGCATTAGTATAGAAGAGATTTTATAGTTCATGCTGAGAACAAAATAATATTTAGGATGAAGGTAGAATTGAATTGTTACACAGGAAACAACATTTCCATTTGAAAAGCCACCCTGGTACTTACTAAAATAACAATCCAGCCACACAAAGCCCTAGAAAACACTGAGGGTGGTCATTTATAAAGTGTTTGTAAAAGATTACTACAGCAGCTGTCCAACAGACGACACACTACAGTTAATCTTCTTTTAAAAATAATGTAATGAATTTGTTTACTTTTCTGTGAGCCATGAAGCTTTCAAATAAAGTGACTGTGGCACATCATTAGAGCCAGTCTGATAAAGAGGCCTCTGCTTCTTCATACGTACAGTAAATGCATATCTTGGTAACTTCCCTCCCCCCCCACATTCCTTGCATTATCAAAAAGCTTTTTATCCTTCTCCCTGGCTGCTCCATTAAAAACAAAACAAGTTGCTCCCTCCCTGTAGGTCACGTAAATACCGAGCCCTAACAACATTTGTTTCCAGCATGGATGGGCCCTGGGCTGTGTGACACAAGAGCATTGTTCTCCTGCAGGGCTGGCCCAGTGGGAAAGAGTTGGGATTTACAGCTGGAGGTGCCTTCATCATCCAGGGAAAATGGGAAACATCAGCTTCTGCCCGGGACTCCCAGCACAGGTACTGGCAGAGACCTCACAATGGCTCAGACATTCCAAATACACTTTTATCCATCCATGTCAACTTGGTTAATTTAGTAGGATGTGCCACACTCTGTCCTAGACTGGTTTTTAATTTGAAAACCTCAGGTTATACGTGCTTCAGAAAATACCTGCATTTGGCGGTATAGTCCCTACTGAAGCTGAGAGTGATTTTATCAGTGAGTGTAATTTTATCACTATTTATATTAAAAAAACACCCTTCCCCCAAACCTGGGAACTTGAAAGAAAACAGAACCAAACCTTCCACTGGAATTTAAATCCTAGCAGAATTTATTATTTATCCATCAATTGATGCGCCTCTCCTTTCCTTAAATCAACAGCCTGAGTTTTTAATTTCGTTTTTCCCCAAACCATTTAGTGTGACTGTTCATCTGGAAGATGTTTGTGACCCATTTGGATTAAGTGTTTTAGTGTTATGTCATTATTTAAACTAAAAAAAAAAAAAAAAAAAAAAAAAAAAAAATCCAACCAACAGGACTTCATTGTTTGGAGGTCATAAATATTCCAGGTTGTCTCCTTCTATATTTATAAAGTGACATCACAATTTGTAGGGCTACAATTTAGCCTTAACTACAACATTGTAAAGTCCCTATTTGAGCACGTGAGACACTTGTTTATTGACATGATAAATTTAAACCACATGCACACAGAAAAACAGAACACTTGCTTATTTGCAAAGCCTGCTGAGAGCTACCACACCACCTTGGGTTGTGGGCTCATTAGATCTCAACCTAAACAAGGTCAGGCCAGGTCAGCACACTTGAATGAATGACATTCAGAGGAGAGCCAGTGTTTTCTGTGATTAAGGAGGTGGGAGTCTTCCACTTGGAAACTTTCCAGAAGGCCTGAAAAGGTGCTAAAAGGGATATTGCCACTGGATGCCATTTTTTGAGTGAAAGGCAGACCCTCAAATCTTTCACACTTACGCTCATAAAAGCCCATGTCAGCTTTGCAGAGGAATGGAGATATGAGCTCAGGCACCCTCAAGCAAATTCCCAAAGTTTGTATCATACCATGTCCATCTGCAGGCAAAGTGCTGTGGGTGCCAGCACGCTGCCTTTCATCAATGCCAGTCTCCAACTTTCTGAACTGTGTGTAAATATAGCAATATGCTCGAAATAGTCCAAGACATCTGATTCAAAATAGCTGGAGGATTCAGCTATTTTCAGGATTCACTTTTAGATACCAAAGTTTTCCATCATTCTTTATAATCTGGAAATATTGCATAAATTTGAAACATTTTATGAATGATCTTTACAAGTGAGCTTACAATCATAAATGGAGAGCCAGCTCACACAGAAGAGAATTGTTTAGTGCTATAAGCAGCCCTGCTAAGCAATACAGAACAGAGAAATACAACTAGAAATGCAAGAGAAACCAGAAAAAAGATGTACAGGTTCTCTTGGAGATACCTGACCTTTTTTTTTTTTGCTGCAGTGAGAATGTCAGAACCAAACAGGAGTCACAGAAGTTGTTTTTGTGGGCAGTTTTTATATCTGCATAAAAGCTTGTACTGCCAGGGGACTATGAGCTGTAATAGATGAGCAAGCAGCACCAAGATGGGAATAACAGCACTAATAACAGCACACTAATTGTGTTGTGCTTCCATAGAGCACTAAGTGCATTTTAAAATTCGTTTCCAGTCCTTGATGGCCTCACACTTAAGTAGAACTGAAGACACCTCCTAAAGACTTCTCTTCCTCCTCCTCACTCTCAAAATTCCCACATTTGCATCCCTGGTTGTCCATTGCCAGCACAGAATAATGTTGACACAGTCAGAAACTCTGAGGAATTGCCACAGTGAACAGAATACTCATCTATGAGATTTTGCCTTTGGGATTCGTCTCTGTAGGTCTGAACTTCCTGCCTGATCAGGGTTTTGGCTTTGCTGCCAAGCCTACAGAAGGAACCACAAACCAAGCCACAACACCAAATTCACTATTTATTAGAACCAATGAATTCAGCTCTTCCAAAACCAATAGACTTTTATTCTTTTCTCCCAGAGCAGAACCAGAAGTCTGTACAACAGCAAAGAAAGCAACAGCAGAAATTCAAAGGAATAAATAACAGTGACAAACACAAAAAGGGCGTCAAATTTTTGAACTCCAGAGAGTTCAGAATGGAGGGGAAATGGATTGTATGGCTTATTTCATAGTAGGAGCATTGTATCACCTTGTTTGTTCATGAAGCTCGTGTTATTTCTTAACTTTTAACACAGAGAAATGTCAAAAGGGGCTTTGTTCACTGACCAAGTGCTACTGACACATCACGTAATGGCTTCTGCTTAGAGCAGCCTTTTGCCCCCCAAATGCCCCATGAACGTTATCAGCATGCAAAACGTCCTGTTTCTGCCTCACACAATACACATGAAGCCAGATAAATAACTGGCCATCTGCCAGCCTAAAAACAAAAAGCGGAATCTATAAACACAGATCAAAACCCACGGAGAAGAAAGGCTGGCAGACCCTTAGACACAAGGTTCATAAAAGAAAGACTGACAAATTATTTACTATCCAAGGCTGGCCAAAGAGCTGTGCTACAACTACGGCTAGAGATATTTGCATAAAACAGTTCAAGGCCATATTGAGTTTAAATAATTATTTTCTATCATTTAGCATTCCATAAAAAGAAGCATGACCAGAGAGGGTATATGAAATTTCATTAACGTCCAGAAAGCACATTTTAAATGAAAAGCAACATGTAGAAGTACTCTTTATACAATGTCTGTAGCGCTTACAGAGGAAGACCTTTTAGAATTTATACACTGCTCAAAGAAAAATATAAAATTTTTCATAAAACCTAGGTGTTTGTAGAATCTCAACTCCTCACAACAAAAACACAGGCAATAATTTATATTAAGCTGATTAGGAAAGCTTTCTGTAGATTCAACCCAGGCAGGAAAGTCTCAAACAAGTTCTGCAGGAAACCAGATTTAAGTAAGAACAGCCTTTTTATCTTTCTGCTCCAGGAAAGGATCCTTTCTGTGGTTATGTAAAAGTTGGGGTTTTGTTTGTTTTGTTTTGTTTGTAAAAGCCTCCTTGTGTATACAGGTATAGTATCTCAGGAACACAAGCGATCAGGTAGCACCCTAAAGTTGCAGATGTAATTTAGAATAGATGCACCCTGATGAGCTTGAAAGCTGGTTTAATTTACAACTGTGTGATCTTTGCATGTCTCAGATTTACAGCCAATTGTGAAGAGCACATAAAGAGTTATCATTAGCAACTGCTGAATAAGAAGAAATTGAACAATTTACTAAATTACATGAAAGCATTTATAGGCACACAGAATACACAACCTAAAGAACTGCAGCTTGTTGAATTCCACTTTATAGACTGCTACTCCTATAAAGTACATACTCCTGTGCTGCGGCAGATTAAGTTCTAAGGCATAAATTAGGATCGTATTGTATTTCTCATTTTTCTCCACCAGTATCACAGCCCTGAGTACAACAGAAATTCTTGAGACACCACCACAACTGCAGACTCGGGGAATGCAGTTTTGCTTCATTTGTAACTACAATGGGCCAGGAATTTTCATATATTTGTTGAAGAATTTTGCTTACTCCCCTACTCTTAATTAACCCATGTTAAGCCATCAGGAAAACATGGAACTGAAAAAAAAAAAAAAGAAAAAAAAAAGAAAAAATAAAAAAAGAAAAGAAAAAAAAGAACCCTCTCGGAAATCATTTGTATCCACATCCCTGTGGCTTACACACAGCCCTTTTAACCCCTCCCCAGAAACGCAGAGGAATTTTAATAGAAGGAGCACGAGACTGTCGCAGCACCCGGCGCTTTCATTGCCACCAAAGTTGTCCCCTTTAGTGGTGCTGACAATTTCTTCTGAGGCTTAAAAAGGCTTTGGGCTGTGAGAGGAGGTAGAAGCAGAGCAGAGGCTGTTTTGAAATCCTTGCTGGAGAATTAGAAAAAAAATAAATAAACCAACCCCAAACCACGAGCTCGATCTCCTCCAATGAAAGAGGTACCACAGGGTGTAGGCAGGTTGCCAGGCGAGCTCGGCAGCGTGACCGCACTGCATTGAGTTTCTTTAATGAAAGCCAGGAAAGAACACATTACACAGTGTTTCTTCTGAGAGCCAGCGAGCCTCCAGTGATTGAAATCAATAAAAACAGTCGGCAAGGGGCCCAGTGGGGGAAGAGAGAAATCTCCACTACAGCATTCAGTTTGCTTTCCACTTTCTCCCTCCCCCTCTGAAGTTAAGCTCCGAAGATCACCATGACAAGCTACTTCGCTTCCAGCGCTGGGAAGACGCTGGTGGGGGTTTAAGGGAAGCGAGCGCTTTCCTTCGCCTCCCTGCCTGCCTTCGCTCTCCCCCCGGCACCAAGGAAATGAAAGGCTTGCTCGGAATTTGAATCCCGCCTGGAAAAACTTCACTGGACAAGTGCATCGTGCTTGCATTTCAGGAAAGGGATGGATTTTACGGTCAGAGAACTCTAAAAGGTGAGAGGGGGAAGAAAAGCGGGAATCTGACCCAGCGGAGCCCACGGACAGGGCAGGATGTCCCAGCCGGCGGAGGGGAGCTCTGGGGCCGCGGGCAGGACTGCGAGCCCGAGACCGTCCGCATCCTGAGGCAGCCGGGAAGGCGGAACACGGCAGGCCAGGTAAGCAGAACCGGCTCTGGACAACCCTCAGTCCCAAAGAGCAGAGCCCGAGCCCGAGCCCGGCTCCGGACAACCCTCAGCCCCAAAGGGCAGAGCCCGAGCCCGGCTCTGGACAACCCTCAGCCCCAAAGGGCAGAGCCCGAGCCCGGCTCCGGACAACCCTCAGCCCCAAAGAGCAGAGCCCGAGCCCGGCTCTGGACAACCCTCAGTCCCAAAGAGCAGAGCCCGAGCCCGAGCCCGGCTCTGGACAACCCTCAGCCCCAAGGAGCAGAGCCCGAGCCCGAGCCCGAGCCTGGCTCCGGACAACCCTCAGCCCCAAAGAGCAGGGCCCGAGCCCGGCTCCAGCCCGCACTGCCTGCCCCGCGGCCGCCCCAATTAACCTCGGCCGAATTAACGCTAAGCTTGTCCCGTCTGAGAGCCGTGTCAGGCCACTAATCCCCGCTGAACTATAGAGCGTGCACAAAAGGCCTTTGTTTAGGCGCTTTGTGTTGAATTTGCGAGCTGACAAGGTAGGACAGGGCCATTGCGTAAGGCCGGCCCCGCAGGAGCTGCGGCTGACAGCGCTCGCCTGCCATCGGACACAGCGCCACTAATGCATTTGGGATATGGGCCGAATTTATCTATTTTATTTATGTATTTTAATCACCATAGCAGCCACATACAGAACATACTTGCACCGAGTTCCATGTGCTGCTCTGCACCGCGACTGTCAGCGGCGTGCACGAACGGGGGCTAGGGCTGATTGTTTTGTCAAAAAGAACTTGGCGATTTAGTTGTTAAGGCAGCCGAGGGGGAACTCTGGCACGGTGTTTGGGAACGACCCACACAGGTTTATGCAGCACGTGGGTATTTGCCTTTACTCTAATGCAAACAGGCTTTATCCCCAATAAAAATGGGGAAGGCATAGATAACAGCTGTAGATCACAACATTCTTCTCAAGCTTTTGGCCAACTTCAGATGATTTATGTAGACCTCAGCGAAACGCAGAGAATGAAATCAAAGCCTGCCTTCTGTAAGGCAAGCAAAAATAATAGCTATATTATATATTATATATATATAATATATATATAAATAGCTACATCTCTACTCCAGCAGAGGCAAGAATTCCCTGGGACAGATAATAAATAGGTGCCTGTGGAGCAAGAGCAACAATGCTTGTCCCCCTCATGCTGGTCATCACCAGATGTTGACAGCAAAACACATTCTCACTGCTGGAGAGGCCTGGGGAGGGACTGGATGCCTCCACTTCCACTTAAATGTTTCTGGAACCTCTTTATCCCCAGCCTGTAGGGTACAAAGTCTGCAGGTAGAGATAAGAGACTTGCAGCATCTCCAGCTCAGTACAGACAGACAGAATGCATGGATTTAGTACAGCAAGTGCAGATGTGCATCTGCAGGTGCAGCATTCCTTGGAAAACGCACACTTTTAAAGGGTCATTTTGGTATTTTCACATCACACAGAAATGACACACCCACTTAACAAATGACCCAGAGAACACCCCCATGACCAAAAGTAAAGGGCATAAGTTGAGGAATGAACTGTTCTAATAAAGCTATGAAAATAGCTGAGGCGGTATTTAAATAGTAAGAAGTTTCTGGACTAATTTATTAATCCAGCTTTGAACTTTTCACACAAATTTATAGCTGAAGTTATAATTAAAGAATAACCATTTACAATAAAACAGCAAATATATAATTCATAATAGAATAGGACCCTACATGAAGTTCTGGGCATACCCACAAACCATTTTGCAGAGTCAGTTCTCTGTTTTGCCTCCCCTGCACAGATCCTTTGCAGAAATGACAGCACCTTCATAGCTCAGGAATCACAGCAATCATTCCCACACCAATCAACAAGTCTGCTTTGCACTGCTCTTGGAGCTAAATTTATCCTTATGCAGAGGAACTCATTAAAGCCTTTATTTAACATTTCAGACAAGGAAAGCTTAGGTGGGACTTACACAACACATATCACTTATACTGACATTCTCGAGCTCAAGTGATATTCCTCCCCATTACTCCCTCAGCAAAAATATAAATATTATCTTTAAAATTTGGGACATTTTTTTCATAGGGATGCCTTTTTCAGAAGCCAAGTGGCATGAGTGACCACTGTTAATGAAATATGTTCTTTCCAAACACACAACGTAGAAAGAAATGCATCTTCTCCATCAGAAGTTGTGATCAAATACAGATATTCTAGCAGTCATACCAGGGTTTTTCAATCATGTCAATGCTATTAAAGCCAATTCTGTGCAGTGACTCTCCCTCTAGAAGATCTGGAAGAATCCCATGTTGCTCTGCTGAGTTGGATACAACAGAAAAGAACTGTAGAGAACCAGTATCTCACATTTCTATCAGTCTTGGAGGTCTCATATCATCAGGAGTGCTTTGTCCTGAGCAATGAAACACACTCATCATAATAAGAGTTCCTAATAGTTCATGCCAATTATCCTTACAGCAATGCTTGTTGGTAAAAGAGCTATTTGAAAACAGTCCATAAGGTTTTGAATCTGTCAGAAAAGTAGGTAGAAGTATTTTAAAGTTGGAAGGACAAACACTTTGCTTTAATTTCCCCCATTTAAGTCTTTATGAAGGAAGAGATGTGAGATTATAAAAAACAAGTCAAATAGCCATTCAAGAAATGCTGAAATTCAACAATAAAGGTGCAAACACCAGAGTCTGTTGAACACCTGGACAGCCTGTGTTTGGTGAAACAATATTCATGCCTGCACTAGGGGAAAAAGAGTGTTGCCATCCCTTTCAAATGAACATAATCTGACACTTCTTGAGTATGGTAAAGCTTCAAGGTGTCTCCTTTCCTATTTATACCAGTGGTTCATGTTCACAGTGCTGGATTCACTCAGCTGAGTATATTTAGTTTGCTCAGTCTCAAATTGAGAGTTTCTCCGTAATGTACCCATTCTGACTTAAAAATGAAACATAATTAACATACAGCTGGAGAAGGTACATTTTTGCCATTTACAGGAAAGATCAGTGAAGCTGAATACCAAATATTAAGTAGAAAATAAGTGGTAATTGATCCGTAGGAAAGGTGGCTTTTCCTACAATTCAAACAGGAATCTTTATATTTGACTTAGGAAGACATTTTTGTTAAAAACAACAAGGTCAACAAAACCCATAATAAACTTCATACCTCCTGACCAACAAGCTGTCAGTGTTTCAGCTGCAGAGTTAACAGGATGTACAGCTACAGGGAATGAATGTCCTGAGACATACACACTACTCTCAAACCCTCCATATTCTCACAGACTTAGAAGAACATTTTTCCCTTAACTTCTTAATAAAACCAGCATCATTTTTAGCCAGTTATACCAAGATATTCTTCAAAACCTAGCTAATTATTCCATAATGGAATATCCATCCATACCTCCATTTATATCCACTCAGCTGCACACGTAGGCAGGAACACGCAACTTTCAATTTGTGATGAACAAGACCCAAGAGAAGACACTCAAGAAAATGGAGTGGGCAGGATTCACTTCTTTAGCAGAATGAACATTTCATGATTCAGTCACCCTAAAATAGACAGCCACAGCAGCACTGGGGACATGAGCAGCCTCTGAACTGTCCTGCACCTTCATCCTGAGCATAAGGGTATCAACAACCTCAGCATGTGTCTTGCCCCTTGGTTTGCTTTCCAATGGGATAAATGGTTTGGAGACAGAGAACTGGACCCTCTGTTTGGCTGTGAAAAGAGAGACACCTCTAAATAAAAGAAGGAAGAAATGTGATGGGCATTACTAATTTTTGCATTTGACTTTCTGCCTAGTGATAACCAGTGATGGATGAATGAGATTGTGACAATTAATTTGTGTGAAATGATCTTTCTTCTAAATATATATAATTTTCACTAAGAGGCCTCTGAACACCTGTATGAAGAATTTGAAAATGTTTAGAGCAAAAAGTACTATAAAGCTGGACTGAAAAACTGTATTTCAGGCAAGTTGAGTTGCCACTGAACATCATAAGAAATTCTTTCTCAATGAGAGTGGTGAAGGAGGAATGTTTCTAAGGGCTGACATGCATCACACAATCTAACTCTCCTTCAGGTCTGCATGCTGCTCTTCAATTCCCCATAAGCAAGTGGTACTTACATGACTGGCAGGGGGAAAGAATTTGAATTTGTTTGTAAGTTTGAAATTGTCTCCTGAAAGTTCCTTAAGAAAATTCCATCCATCATTTTCAAAGTCTCTGAAAATAAAGTGCAACTCATTCTAAAATCCTATTTATTTAGCAGCACTCCACATACTTTCTGTTCTTGTGAGCTCTCTGGTAACTATACATCTATGATACCAACTTTTAAGCTCTCAAATTTATCACACAGCTGAAAATACTGAAATGACATCTGGTTTTTATAGCATCAGGTGTGCCTTCATTATGTGTTTGTGAGGCAGAGCAGAAAATTGAAAAACAATTATGATTTAAGAAGCTAAATTAAAACCTGTTGACTGTTTAGTGAAAATGCTCCATAAAACCTGTTTGTATTTCAGCAGACCACACTGAAAAGTATCATTGTGAAAGCAGCACAAAACAAGGTGCTGGTAGTGTTTGCTTCATTTTGGAATTAAGCATCTAGCAAGTTACCCTAAAATAAAATTGTATTAATTTACATTTCAATAATAAGTAGCTTAAGTATATTTGTAAAATGAGTACTAAAATTTACATGGACAGAATTTACAACTCATGATAAGTTTTAAAGCCAGGCTTTACATGCTGAACTTACATTGTCCATCTTTGATAAACCAAGTATAAATACAACAGGAAATAACATCTGCCCACGTAATTTTGAAGTTAAATACAAAAGAGAGTGGATAACCACAGATGGAATAATATGTGAAATACAAGAAAGCCTGCGCCCACCAACGGAGGGATTAACTTTATCACATACCTGTTCTGTTATCATGTAATTTTACAGGGATCAAAAGAAAGTTTTAAGATAGGAACAAGGAACTTCTTCATGGCACCCAGGGCAGCAC